AAGGCGTCAATGACATCACACTGCTCTTTGGGCAGGTGCCACTGGCGTGTTACGCAGTATTTGGTTTCTGAAACCAAGTCGATCTCATGACGCAATTCGTTCCGGAGGTAGGACCGACGGCAAGTCTTTGGAGATGACGTCTCGAGATTCCTTTACCAAGGTATAGTGCAGATCCGAAGGGGGCTTTAGGATTGAAGATCCACTTCGTGCGTTCAGCACCCTCTTGGTACCCTCCACGACAGCTTTATCCAGAAGTGACGACGAGTTGATCTTCTCGTCCGGTATTATAATGATCACTTCGACTAGGTCGGCTGCCTTCAAGGCACTGCGAAACTCGACAACTCGTTTAGCTCAAGAAGAGCATTCACAGCGGATAAAGCCTCAAGGGTGACGTCGTCGTCTTCCTCACCCGTCCCGCCGTCGACGTACGTGTAATGCTGCGCGCTATCCTCTACGGTAGACACACTCTGGGTCTGAGTCGACGCCCTGCGTCTTGCAGATAAGATACGGCATCACCGTTGTCTCCCCGCGAAGGATCTGTGTCTCGACGAGACCTGTGTAAATATCCATTTAGCGGCGTCCAGTGTACCCACTCCCTGCTCCACCGAAGCCTTGATGTTATTAACAACATCCAACGAAGAGCTGCCAGCTCCACAGTTTCGTCCAGTGGATAACGTGCTACTCCACACGCATCTGAAGGGCTTCGCCCTTGATGCCTCGGACTCGTCCGACCATGCCACTCTTGGCACGTGAGCAATGCTCAGTGGATTACGTGCCACTTCACGTGCATCTCTGGGGCCTCGCCCTCGATGCCTTGACCCTTGGCACTCTTGGCATTCAGCGACCCCTTCGATACTTGAGCAGCACTCAGTGCGTTACGGCCACTCCACGTTCAGTCCGCGATCCACGCTCGGGACTCCTGTCCAATACACATTTGGTGTCTGACAACTCGGATGCCTCGATCTCTAGCATTTTGACCTTCCCGGCCCAGTGCCCGCACCAATAGCGCTTCTGCTTTCTAGCAGAGGTGGGTATAGACGCACCAAAGCTCCACCAGGAAACGTGCTCAGAGCGCCCAAGGTCTCCGACCTCCATGACTCATGGTGTTCCAGCCATGCCATACCAAGGATAAGGTCATACCTCAAATCCAAGTCTAAGACTAAACTGAGCTCGACGCTATCGAAGTGAAAAATTTTGCACCGATGTCCACAGAGATCCTCGGCACCGTGACACAAGTCCCTGTCACTAAGGGAATAGTGACAGTGTCACTCAACCGCGCATTCAGCGCCTCAGAATACAGCAGACTTCCTTCTAGCGTGGAGCGTCGAGAATAGTTGCCAGATGCCCTGGAGTCGATAAGGATCTTCAATGGCTTCTCAAAGCCCTCCACGGTCGCTTCCACGAGCAGTAAGCCCGGCTTGCTTGCACGCTCCTGTTCAAGAGCACGGAGCTCTTCGGGGCTGGACCCTGCTACCCTCTACTCATTTGGGGCTCAATAGAGCTCACTTCTCTCCCAGATCTCAGTTCTTCTACCCCGCGGCTACTGAGTGTTGTTATTTCCCCGCAACAAACCAGAGTAATGAGAAGCAGAACGTCGGTTTGATGAACCTTGATGCACCTTGTGCAGAAGACAACCAGTCCGATGAGGGGATGTCTCCACAGACAAAACAAAGCCAGGTGTTCGAGCTCTGCCCCCTCTTTCTCAACATAGCCGAGACTCAGTGGCCCAGGTCCGCTCGACGAGCTATGAGAGTGTGCATTCCAACCAAGGCGTGCCGACTTGAAGTTGAATTCGGCATTCAATATCACATAGACCGCTCCTTCAAAAGAAGACGGATGCACACGGAAAAATTTTATTCTGGCCACGCCAGTGCGGAGTCCTCCATAAAGACGGTCACTGTGACCGTGTTGGAGAGAGGATCAGTTGCCATCCCGGCAGTGAGAGCTCAAGTCTTGGACAAAATCCACCAATTCTTTCTTGCCCTCTCGGTCGGTAAGGAAACGCGATCGCGCGCGATATGCCTTGTTAGGCGGCGATAACATTCGTAATAGCTGACGCTTCAGCTCTTTCAAGGAGGGAAACGCCACTTTAACCGAAGTACCGCATGTCAGTGCCCATTCTCGCGCTCAACCACCAAGCTTCGAGATAGCTAGCGCCACGCGCTGTTGTTACTCATTCTAAAGCATTGCAAATGCCATATCTCCCTCACTCAGAGCAGGAGATTCAGTTCATCCTTACCCCGAAGGTCTTACCGCTCACCATGAGCGGCGGCCTGGTCGGGAAGAGGCATCCGTCGCCGACGGTGGCATCATGGACGCAGTTGATGTCGACATCTTTTTCTGGGTGCTCTAGCAGGGCATTTTCATAGCTTGAAAATGCCTCAAGGCGCACGCTGATCGTCAAGTCCTTGTGAAGCGAGATATTGCACGCCTTCAGGGCCAAGCAGTGACACCAGCTTTTTAAGCCTACCTTGCATGCCCTGGGGCAAAAAGGAGAAGCGCTCCATACTCAAAGAGGGTCAGTCGTGACGACTCAGGTGTAGATTGACTACAAGTGCTACCAAGTACAGCGGGGCTATCGAGGCTCATTGCTTCAAGGCAGCTACGATAAGATCACCGACCTTACGTTGTATTCTAGAACAAGTATGATCTCTGCATACCAGGGTACGTGTAACCTCGTTATATTTATGGCGTACGTAATAGTACGGTATTGTCCCTTGGATCGAGAGTAGAGCCCAGAAATGCCGTGCCGAGGTACCGGAAGAAGGTATATTGATTAGTACTTGGAAAGGTAAGCGTGGTGACGCAGAGCGGCCCACTGGAAAAGAACTCTTTTAACCTTCTTCGGAGCCGTGGTCAATGGAAATCAGACCTAATTGGAACGACCATTTTTAAGAGGGTCGGGGCGCCCCGAAGCTGTCTGTTGCTAACATCAATATCCTATCCTTTGTATAGCCAGCTAAAATATAGGGTCGTCGTGAACTTTTATGCAAGCGCCATTGTTGAGAACATCAGAGAAATGTTAGGGTAGCCGAGAGCAGGCACCATATCTGTGCGTCTTGCGATGGGGACGTGCCAAAGGTTCTTGTGATGTTCTTATAAAGTTGATAGCTTTGACACAGTGAAACACTGTCCGTTCATCAACCAGTATTTGAAATGCGATTAAGTCCTAAATATAGCATGGATGGAACGCCATTAGTTGGACTCTGATGGCGTCGGATGCCGCTCCATTCTTTCCAAGTCGAGTTTCAGTGAGTTTTTAAGTCACCCGATGAAAACAGAAGATATCGCGAGTCCCTGATGTCGTCCAACATGACACATCCTTGTTAATATGTAACGGTAAAGCTGAGTCAGCAGCAGTAAGTGGCATGAATACTCCAAATGGAGATATCTAGGACACATCCATACGTCATGCGTTATATAGGGTTTAACTACCGCAGGTAGTAAGACAGATACAAGTACCAACTTCTATAGAGAAAATTTCAATGATTTTGAACAGTTAAGTATTGTTGCTGGAGACGCTCTCGATTCAGCAGCTTTGGGGCGGCCGGTTAATCCATAAACAGCGCGTAAGTCAGCGTATAATTTATGAGTCGAAGCTCTAACGTGTGTCGTCAATCCGTCGACCAAGTTTGAATAGGCCTGGATTCTATGTGAAGATGGGACGTGTTGTGCTCGCGAATATTACCTTGGAATGGCAAACAAGCTTCTGTCTTCAGTTTTTTCGAGGGTTCGGCTTAAAGCCCAACAGCGTTTGTCGCGCGCTCGACAGAAGTGAAATTGCGCTCAAGATGTACCTCCTAGGACATTTTCAGCAGATGTTCGAGAAAGCACAACCGGCTTCTGCATTGCTTTTGAGGACGACATCATTTCTGTTGAGCGTCAAATTTTTTGAGAATTAGAGACCAGAAAGCATTTTTTCTCCATCTCTACTCTAAAGTGGATCGATGGTTCTAGAACGTGATCATTTGCTATTGCTGTAGCTGTGCGCCACACTAGCCATATAATGGGCGCACGCGAGAATGGGCACCAACGCATGGGTTTTTCGCTTCATACATTGGGGCATTCTCGACATGGAAACACTTAAATGACAAATGATTCGAGTCATCGCATAGGCTTATTGCGGGTGGTCACATTTCTTGCTCACCCCACAAATATAAGTAAATATGTGAATTATGTCCAAGAGCTGAAATCGGGTTGGAGGTTACCATAGGTAACAATAACCATTACCATGAACGGTCGCCCTATAGGTGCAGCTCACAGCGAGACCTACTGCGTTTCTGTAACTCCGTTTGATGCGATGGTTCTCAGCCAAACTGTGGAAAATGACCGTGATTTAGCTGCTAAACAGTGCTGTACTACTTGCTCATGTAAATTTTGTGGCAATACCAAACATATACACCATGCATGCCCCCTCCTTCCACAGTTGAGATGCGAGAAAGGTCGACCGACGACTCGCTAGCGGGGGAGCGCTGAGTACCAGTTGCAACCATGCAAGGAGCTGACGCTTTAGCGCTGTCGTGAATGGGTTGTTTGAGGTAGTCCAAGGGGATATCAGTCAAACAACTCCTCCCCAAATAATAGTTCATACAGAGTCGTGCGGCGCTAGATTTGGAGCTTAACCTCAAATACTCGAATGCAGTGCTCAATTGTGTGCACCTAGATATGCTATTCATCAACATGGACAATTGTTTAGCGCTGACCAGACTTTATTTCGATGCTTCATTGAGAAGCATGGAGTGTGAACAGAACCCGCAAGTACCAAGGCGATAGCAGATCAGTCAGTGCCAAATCACCGAAGAGATTTGCAGAAGTGGCTTGTTTTGACAAACTGCGTGTGTATTATGTTAATTTTGCGTACAAGACACGCAGTTACGCAGTTTTGACAGAAATGTCAAATGGCAGAGTACAGGTGAAGAAGCGGTAATCAATGCTTTTAAAGAATGCTATACGCATGCTCTTACTGTCGCCTTAATGGATCCCGAACAGCCATTTCATGTCTTTTGGCATTCGTCACTGGTTATAGATAACTTCAAGTAGGTGTTAACGGGCATGACTTTGTTATTGTATTTAATATATTCTAGCCTTGAGAGGCGAAAAGCTTTTTGCAGCTCATGACAAGTTTGAAGTATGCCCTTGTCAAAATATGATTACACCAACTCGGCCCGGACCCATATGTCATCAAGACAGATCATGCGTCATGACGCGCACCACCATCATTATTGTATCCCTCGCATAAACTGGCAAGATGGCTTTTTTTCTTTGCAGCTCATAATTGATATAATATAAGCCTGCTTATGTGGCGGCGGTACGATTCCGCTTTGCTCCGGCTGTACTTTTATGTCATGAGCTGATCAGATTTTTTTGCCTCTTAAAGCCAGAACATCTTAAACGCAATCTTTCCTTCGCTCCGGCTGTAAATTATGACACAATGATAGTATTCGTACGGCATACGAGTCAGGTACAACCTGTTTTGCGCGGTTCAAAATAGGAAGAGCAAGGAGATTAGAGTCAGATCTCGCTTTATCTGAGTGATCCAAAGCGCATTAATACCTTTATTTCTTGTCCTCAAGTCTGCTCTATCACCGCACAAATCTGCTTGACATACAGCGTGTGGCGGTCCTGTTCTCGAATACAGAATTCTGCATGACCCCTTTTGTAATCGTCTTGGTTGAGAAAAGAATTAAGGCTCGGTGACTGCAAATTACAAGTTGGTAAATAAGTATATGCGCACGTGCAAAATAAACAAGCCTGCAAAATTTAAGCCGAATGCGGCTGCAGCCTTCACTAGTCTTCCACTTCCGTCAGAGTGCTGACAGCCCTTTCAGTAGGTATTATTTTATGATCTTTCAAGATGCCGTCATCGAATATACTGGCAAGGTGGTATTTATAAACTGCCTCGGCAATATTGCTTTATCTCACTGTTTTCACCATCACACGTTTAAAGCTAATCTAGTTTTTGACAAAAAGAAAGTCTGTCGCTTGCATAGCTTGCTCGCGTAAAAGTAAAAAGGTCTTGCATTGCAGCTTGCGTGGTAAAGCAAAATTTGGCTATTTCTCTATGTTTGACATGTCTATCTGCAGGACAATTTTCAGCTCGAGTACCTTCAATATGTTTGAAGGATCCAAATCACTTGTGCGAATCGAAAACAATGCTGGAGTGGCATGCTTAAACTCATTGAGTTTGCGTTGACTGGGGTCGATGGTGTCCTTAAACTTTTATCATTTGTTATAAATTGTTTGGTACACAATCACAATTTTCATACCATCATGAGGTGGTTCCAGGGAAGGACATCGATGCGACTTGATGTGCTATTAATAGCCCAGCCACACATCGTGGCGATAAATTGATAATAAGGAGATTAAGCGTCATGCGTTGATTGTGTAATGCTATGTTCGAAAGCCAGTACATACAGTCAACAACACCCACACACAGTTGTTGTGCAAAACAAGGTTTCATTGAGCACTGTTGAACTGCTTGCCAATGCAGCCTTTAGAACTAATTTTTGCCCGCGCTACATTAGACCCTATCCATCATGGCTAACAAATAGATTGAGTTGTATGCTGACTACATCTTAAGGAACGCGACCCCAACCTCTATTTTTATGAAGACTTACTAAAGTCACGTACCATGACTATGCTTTCGTGACCCACTCGGATACAAAGCGCTGTGTGAAAGCTATTCAGTGTATCAGCAGTCCCGTGTGTTTGTTATCCAGTGGATCAATCTGGTTTTCCACCGGTCGGAGTGTCCAAATCTGGCGTTACACCGTGTACTTCACTAAACTAAATATCAAACAATGTTGGAGTCCCGCATCTTTTTCGCCAAACCTAATTTGTCAAGCCATAAATGTGAAAGCAAAGTGCTTTTATCATTCAATTCCGTATCAGTTCATCTACGCTTCGGCACTGTCGCCACGGCATAGCAGCTTTCTTGACAATCACGGATTTGCTTCAACGCCTCCGATGCAGTCTTAAGCGGTACTCCTGCGATCGAGTCTCGAGATGCAGCAATGACTAATTGCTCGGGATCAAGTCGAAGCCATCGACTTTTTATCTAGTCCCACAAGACAGCACGACATGTGAGGAAAATAGCATCTGCAGTCGACATTTTTGTCAAGAGAGCCGCAGAAAAGCGGTGCATCGCTCGACCGTTTTGTATGCTCACGGTGCAGCTGCACCGGCGCAAATGCAGTTTCACGCGTAGATATTTTTAGGACTCGGTGTTTAGGTTTGTGTTATTTGATTATCAAATGTATTCTACCAGGATCCGATGCGCCAGCAGTATAATCTACTTACTGCTATTAGAACTTCCAATGGATTGATATGGGAATCATTGCTACTATCCAAGGTCTCAAAATCGCTCTATCACGCTTCAGTGGGTGATCACACTTGTATTGAGGCCGTATTGATTGTTCGCACCAAATAAATTTCATAACGATTGTTCGCAGCACGACTGAGTGTGAGAGGGCAGCAGAGCAAGTCCATCTCAGCTTCTTCTTCGCCAATGACTAATGGCTATTAGGCTCCAAGAGATCACAGACTTTAAACATAGCTCAAAGTTCTTTTTTCGCACGGAAAATTTCGGTGCTTGGGCGTTATGTGAGTAATAGTGCTGTTTTACCTGACCCAGAGATGATGGGATCTATCTGTGTTAGCCGTTTCTACAATCGGATACCTGATTAAGACTCGCTAAGTATCTCCAAAAGTACACCAAATACTAAGCTGAATTGGGTTTACCCTCTCATAAAAATCACGGAAGGACGTGAAGTAATGATGACCATTGTGCTGTTTGGGCAATCAAAGCGTGTCTTGGGCCTCCTATCTCATTGCTGTGAAACAACTTCGAGTCGCTCGATGTTGTTTGTGATGCCATATTGTGATCACTTGTGCGCCGGTGTAGCTTGATACCGGGTGTGTGAGCTTGTTATAGCTACAGCCGCAGACAACTATCGGATTATCACTAGAAACTGGCTTCCATACAGTATGCACATTCACTTCCGAGTGCACCTGTTTGGCGTAAAAACTTCGCGACTTTCACAAATTACGCATGACTGCGGATCGCGACCACGTCACCGCACGTGTCTTAAAAAAATGACTCGATAACTGTCATTTTTTTTACAACGTTGCTACCTGGGGAGAACAACATTCTCCCTGATGCTCTATATTAATGATCAATCTAAAGCACCTGAGGATGAAATTCTGGCGTAGGATTTTATAAGGCACGCTAAATATCGCAGTGAGCGCTCACCGATTACCCTTAAGGCATTTCGCCGTCCATACGACGATTACATCTTTTACTTGTCAAAAAGCCAAACCCACCAAGTCGAAATATGATCACAGTTATCGCGCAGTTTGCGCCCGCGTTTTTCAAATAATCTATCTTCATTTTAGTTTACGATTTTCTCGACCCTCACATGGCTTTATCGCACAAATCGAGGATTTTTGCTCTCTGCGGAATCATAAGCATCATGATAGCCCAAACGGTAGAATCCTTCGTCGTGAGAAGACATCCTTTTCGCTATCGCGTTATCTTAACGGTCCAAGTGACTATGCACACGAAATCGTTTATGAGAAACCCAATAACGAGTAGAGCCGTCCTTAATCTCTCCTTCTCCGCTAAATGACTGCCAGTTCTTAGCAAATGATGGGAGTCTATTAATAACAATTATGTCGCCAGCTTTCCTAGGAGTTCACACGGCCTCGACTGTCATGTCTCTGATAATCTTTTGTTCAATTCGCTGCAGTGAAACTTCATCAATGCCGAAAAATCAGCTTATATCGTTATAACTAGCGTTTTTCACCCCCAAGGCTTCTCCAAGAAACTAATTTTGAGCCGTGACTACCGATTTATATCAATATTTTGGCGCTTGTTGACAAAGGTTTTGGAGGTCAACCTTTGGATGTCAAGAAAACTCTAAAACGACCAAGAAACAGGCAGGTCACGTCAACAGTATCCTCGAAAATTTACTACGTAGCTAAGCCGCGTAATTAACTGAGTAAAGTCAATACGCTCTGATCAATTTCGTGCATGCATCCCCAGACATTACTTCATTCGTTCTGGATTAAGGAAATTGCCCGCGTGTGATCTCAATGCTGGATATTGATAGAAAAGTCAGCATACGTACAGGCGACCGGAAGCCAGATCCCCGTGGATGCGTCGATTCGAAAATGTTAATGATACAATTTTGACTAGGTTTCGAAATCGATACCAATCGAATGCGGCGTAGACATTAGGGCCAATAAGATCAGGCGTAGGCGCGTGCCTTTATGGGACCGCGTGTCTTTGCGGTTAACGTGTAGTGTGCATTTTGAATTTAGCTATAACTCCTAATATATATGTCTCACTCTCACTTTTATCTTCTTCAGCACACATGCCCGACCAATACTCAGTACTATTACCTGCTTCTGGTAGTTCTCTTTTTGGAAGGATTTGACGCCTATGTTGATACAAAATAATCTCAGGAGTCGGCCTTCTGTCAGCCGTCTCATCCATTTCAGGATGATATATCACCTCCCTCAACAAAACGCATTGATATTCAGATCGACCGCAACGCAGGGAATGGAGACAAAATATCCTCGATGATTCAGTTACAGTCGGTAGCATGTCCTCGGATAGGGACACAATTCCGAAATTACTTATTCTTGTTTTCCTTTACAACAAGTACGATAAAACCATCAGAGTTCAGCTTTGAAGCAATGCAAAGCTTGTCAAAATACCATTATATAATGTGATTGTTGATGCAATACGAGTAAGCATATTAAAGTAGACGTTAAAACGATTTCAATTCCAATTTTAAAAATCATGTCGTACTGATCACATAGTACATTTGATTTGTTTAAGTGATCCAGACCGAGGTAAAGTGGACCATTCTAGATATTGATATGACGTACGCTTGAAGTCTCATTCCTTATCAGTAAATTAATCTATCTTCATCTGGTTTGGCTCTTCTGTTTTGGCAGCTCGGCTTTGGCAAAATTCTGGTCCACCTATCAACAGTGGTCCAGCTGCTCGCGAAGTTATGCTGGGCCTACGACCACACTTCGATCAAAATTACGCAAGCAGAACATGAGGTTATAGCGCTCAAAAATGATTCTAGTTGAGTCTCCTTGCCGAAGACCATTTTTGCATCAATCATTTTCTTCCCAACGCCTCGGACAATTTCTCGGTGTGAGCTACCACGCCTCTTTTGTAAGTCGTGGAGCTGAGTTTTGATCGTCGGTCTCTGCCGTTGAGTGTCGGCTGCACATTGAAGGCGCTGGACGGTTGACTGGATTGTCGATCCTGATCGATAGTCATAGTACGAAAAAAGAAGAACGAAAATATTTGATTTTACCACTTACATTTACTTGGTCATCCCGACCATCAAGATATTAGTGAGCACGATTGGCTTTGGATAATGGCGTCCTTGGTCTCGCGCAGTAAAACGAGGATTTGCCATAGGCGCGTTTCCAAAGCATCGAGACCAATCGAGTCATTTTATGCGACGGCAAACTTTTCTCCAGCCCTCTTCGAGCGACATCATCCTGTTCTTGCTACCCCGCGCAAGAACGATTCGGCTTCTGGTAAGCGCGTAAATCTCATAAACTCGACGAAGTGTATTGCAATGCAGAGCAACGCACTTTTCTTGCAACATTGACACAGAATATTTTTCCGATCAATTTGCCGAAACAACCTGTCTTGGTTTCAACACCAAAAGTAGGTCTACCAAAGTATTTCTAACAATGAGATCAATACTTATGTCGACCCGCTTTTTGCCGACCAGTACATCTAACTAATCAGGAGTATATTGCTGCAGGTGTCGAACGATCCTTACCAATAACATTGAAGTACCGTGATGTATAATCGAATATTAATTCGCGTCAGTGGTGCCCTGATGTGGAATTTTGATCTATGGCAAGGCGTTCCAGCGCCAGCCACCATCGTTGTTAGTGTTATGGACGCCGTTTTGATTTTGCGGAAGCTCGCGACGTTGTGCCTACTGCTCGTTGAGTGTAAGGAATATGAAAGAATAGATCAGGATGTGGCGCTCGCTCCGACGCCCGCGATGCTACAGTTATGTTGGCCCTGATGGCAGGGTCATTCAGCTATGAAGCGCGGTGCTCGTCACCATTTATATTCAACCTGTGCTTGCCTTTCTTTTGTTCTTATCGGCGTGAAAGCTGTCTAAGGAGTCTGTAATGGACCAACAATCACTTTATCGTTTGTCTTACAACGTCTCCGTAGGATCATGTGAAGCTTTGAGGCCGTAGCTGTGACGAGGTTACACGTACCCTGGTAACATGGGTGTGTGTCACACGAGATGGGCATGGTGTGACTGCACTCAAATAAGAATACGGTGCGTGGCTGGGTAGCCAGTAGTTATGCATTTAGATTTTACTACATATATTTAGGAAATATAGACATTAAAAATTAGGGGGCTTTGTCGCAGGTAGAATAAATAAATGAATAAAGTCAGTTTTGGATTTAAACGATTAGCCTTGGGTTAAGGCGGTGATTACTCTTGGAGTAAGCGGATTGCGACCCGCTAACTCGTACTTGTTCCAAGTTTAAAACGAAAGGTCGGTGGCATAACTTACGCTTCCTCAAAGCGCAAAGCTACGGCAGCCCCGCTGCTGTAGCTTTGCTCATAAATCAAACATATTCTCTCAAAAGCCATTGCCAAAACTATTGATGTCTGAGAAAATCGAATTGCCATATTTCGATTATATGTTTGCAATCGAATATTCCCACTTCGTTATGTAGGAGGCATCTTACAAACGGGAAGGTTAAGATATAATCATACTACGTTGATTTTATCTATATGTTCTAAAAATATTTCTATATGATTAAAAAAAAATCACAAAAACTAAATACTGAGTAGAATGTTACATTTGTCACTTGACTTTTTTGATTTCAAATTATGGCCAATCTTCTCAAAATATCCCTAGTAATTTCATTCTGGTTGTCCCATGTGATTATTCCATTGCATGTAGCTTGTAATGCGGTTAGCTACTTAGTTCAGGACTAAGTTATAGCTTTTCATGTGGAGCCTACAATGATAAAGTGGCTTTCAGCTTTTGTGTCAGACAATATTCCATATGACACTCACTCCGACTTACAGTATTTAGTGAATTGAGAGGTACGCTTATATGTATCGCCGGATTTGTGGATTTCGGCTGATGTATGTAAAAATAAGCCAAATATTTGAAGTTGGGTCTGGCATTAACCTCTGAAGCCAACCTTGTCGTTCACTGTAAATTTCTGCCACTCGCTTGTTTTAAAAAAAAAGGAAATCTGTATAAAGAAATCAACACGAGCTCAAGTTAAATATTTCTACCCTCTTCGTCCCGCGATACTTTTATAAGCTCGTTGTAATAGCTCGGAACGCGCGTTCGCATCAGAGCCTTTAAACTGCATTAACATTATGGGTTTCCACTTTGTATTGCAAAGAAATCTTTGCATTGTTTGATCAACTAGCTCTCGAGGCGCATCCAGCTCCAATATTGCAAGATATTTCGTAATCGGTTCTTTATCGACAATGTTGCTCGAGCCAAGCGCAGCTTTAGTTTTTTGTGGCGCACTATCGCGCACAATTTCATAGTAGAAGCAAATAATTGTAGCCGGTGGCGATATTAAGTCAGACAAATTGTTGTAAATATGACGACCCTGTCTTAACAGGTGAATTTTTCGCATACTCGCAATGTTTTGCTGGTAAGTGCAAGTTGCTTTGATAGTAGCGATACACTTTATCAGCCGTACATTTTTCTTAGACAAATAAAAAGACTTGTAATGTAATTAAATAAAACTGTAATTCCATCTGTCAGTTTTCATCAAATTAATTATCAACCTCTATGTTTCTCTATAGCAAGCTCTTGCCTCGGATTGGCTGTTAAGCCTACAATTTCCCATCGTAATGATCTAGCCTCTACCCCATGTGGTTTGACGGACGTGACTGCTCTGGATTAGGGATAGCCGCTGGTACTTCGTCACGTTGGTTTGTGTGAAAACGACTTGGCCGAACATATCGCAACGAGAACTCCGCAAGTTTGCTCTAGGTTGACGAAACGACAGAAGCTGCCAGAGCATACAGGTCATCAACCCACGGCTGGTGTCAGCTACTATTTATCTTTAATCCCGTGAGTCAGCGCAGCGTGGTGCAAAATGGCGAATATTACCGCTACCACGTGCGACTTTGGACTTGCACTCACAGAGGAAGGATGCGTGCGGACACTTGCGTCGTACGATCCAGACGCTTACCATACAGTGCAGGCCGTCTATTTATGTCTTGGTGGGATCAGCGTCGCAGCTAGTGTACTTCTCTACGTTCGGTCGGTAAAACACGAGGGTGCACTGCTCCAGCAATACAGCTTTCTATTCTGCTGTTATGGCGCTGTAACTTTGGTCATCCGTGGGGCAGATCCTTCCAGTTACGGTTATGTTATCCCGCGTCCGATAAGCTGTTTTCTTGCCGATACGTGCACTGCCGCTCTTTACTCCGTGTAGTAAGTTCTTGTTGTAACGTGTGAATATTGAAAACAGTGACTTATTTTCTATCTCTTACAGCATCATGGCTCTCGGGTATTGGGCTACTATTATCCAGCGTGGTGCAGCAGTTACTGGAAAACCACCGCACTTGGTCTGTTTGGAAAGCTTAGCTATTGCTATAGTCTGGACTTTTCAGATAATGTACGATATGTGTCTCTTTCTGTCCAAGGGATTTAATCCGCAAGGTCTGGTGTACATGCAGCTCACCGTGAGTGCCTGTATGCTGGGCATCATAAGCACCGTCTTCTTGATTTACGGTCTACGTGTACTTAATCGTTTGCGACAATTCGAGAGGCAGCTAAAGTTGCGCATGCCAAGCGTGCATTCCGATCGCATGATGTCGAATCGGTCTTTTGATTTAAATATGAGTGACGACGAAGATTGCGAAGACAATGCGCGAACGCGCAAATTGTGTCCTCGTCCACAAGAGGGTCACGCCACCAAGATCAAGAAAATTTTACTGGTTGTTGAATCGTGCTCGCTTATTGTTGTAGCTGCTCAAATGTACATGGCGATTGCCCGCACCAATGACACTCCTGTCGAGCTGTTATGTGCGAATGGCCAAATGTGCGAGTCCGTGTCCTGCTCGGTGAATGTGCTTCATATCTTTCAGGTACCGCAATATTTGGCTTAGCATATTGAATCTAGCTATTAATCTAAGTGTTGCGATCGTACTGCAGGTTATGTGCATCTGGGTGATTCTCTGGACATTTCGAAAAATCCAAAAGAAAGCTGTTGTCCCTAGGCCCGCTTAAGCGTCAATTTTCTCACTCGTAGCAAATCGGCTAAGTTTACTCAATCAGTGTCCCAAATTTTTGTGATGTGTACCATTAGCTATTCATACCGAAGTTGTAATAAGTCAAGCGTCGGGATATATTGTGTATGCTCTCGTGAAGCGCTTTTTCCATCTCGGACCTGTAATTTAGATTTGGGCTTGTCTTTGAAATGTAGTCGCTTGTTTGCTGTCGCAATACGTAGGATATGACGGCTTGTGTTCCTGAAATGAGCTTGATGTAGTGAAGTAAAGTCGTGTGTGTACCTATATAAGAAGACGTTGTGAGTAGCAACCACGTTGGACATCCAAAAACCAGCAAGATATTTGCCGTCGTGAGACTATACTATACGATTTAACAATAGCACTAAACCTTGTATGTAATCGATCCATTGTAAAAAAAGCTATTCAAGGTGTCGAAACTAGTTTATTACCAATTTTATAGGACAACGAACCTCAGCGTCACTAACATCGATCGACAACATCCCTTAACTTGTCTTAATAAGGCAATATAGAACACAAGCTGTGTTCGCAACCTCGTTGGGATATTGATGATGTAACTCAATCTCTTTCGAGTATGTGCAATGTAGAGAGGTGTTTAACAGACACTAATATAATCGTGCTCGCCTTCTGTTGACATCTTGATATAGCTTCTGTATTACTGTATTACCTGACTTTTTGCCATAGCACCCCCGTGGCGCTCGCTATATTTCTAAGATGAAATTTTCAAATTTGCTACGCAATTTTGCCGGGCTGATTTCAGCAAGTCGATTAAAGTTGACAGTTCGTCCGCTTGCAAGACTAAAACCGACTTGCTGTCAAGGGGACATGATCTCATCAAACTATTTTTGGTAGTAGGGTCAATCCTGTACAGACCGTACAGACATGTACGGTAGAATAAGTGCAGAAGCTCGATTAATCATCGTGGTCGCTCCAGCCAAGTTACGAAGAAGATCTCCCACCACGCAAGTGACGTGTTCTGCCCGACCATCGGTCTGTGGATGATCTGTCGTTAATATATCCAATCTCTCGTGCCAAGCACCGTGATAAAGTTTGCGAGAATTGGCTGTTAAGCGCGGGTATCGGTACGCAATACTGACAAAAGTCTTTGTCGTGGAATAGCCTGGTTTGGTAATGATGTCGCTGAAAGCAGCGCGATGAAACATTTTCCTCGTAAGATCCACGAAGAGCACAATACCTTGATTTTCAAACACCAATCTTGGAAGACTGGAAGCAAACTCTATGTTAATGAGCTACCATTTTTCTGTCGAGCCGTCAGACTGACTGAAAGCGCAAAACATGCAGCAAAGGTCTCACCGCAGAATCGCTTTACATTTGAGCGCTTCCACAATTTGTATATATTATGTCACCATTCTAAAGCATTCACTATAAGTCGTACGTATATTCTATACCGAGATGACCGTGTAGCATGTGTCTCATACAAAAGTCCGCATCTGAAGTTCTCATCATGACGTACCACCACACGCTGTGTCACTTTAGGTTCGTGTAGCAAAACAGCTAGCCTTGGCTTTATGCGTAGCAAAGTAACGCGCGTTCAAGATTAGATAAAGCGACATTCAAGTGTGCAATTTCTTGCACTCCCAATCTTGAAATCATGGAACACATATTGTGTCTGACTCGGATGCGATATGTACAGCTTATTTAAAGCGTGACGGCAGTCACTATTGTAATATGCGAAATCTGGGCAAAGCGAAATCATCCCACCACCACATCAAAAGAGCTAGGCTTCTACCTGACCTCAAAAGTAAACTCAGCAAAAAAAGAATACCATCTTGCTATTATCTGAGAGTCATGTGGCGTTGATGTCGCTGCGCGTAACGACGCATGATCTCTATAGATTGAAATGGCTCCAAGCGAACCAATGTTATCGAAACTAAATATGAGCATACCCTATCGCAAGTCGCTCCTTGTCAGGAACTGGGTAATTATTCTCTGCAGGTTTAAGCTGGCGGTATCCAAACGGAACGACGCGTTCAGACTCACCATGGGCGTAAAGTACGACCTATTGCAAAGTCTGAGATATCACAGACGACGCGCAACAAACGATCAAGATCTGGAAGGGCCCCAATGAACAGAGCCACATATGCGTACACAGCTTTATTTGACAACCTTACGGTGAAGATTGTTGAGGGGATATATTAATAAAAGTAATTTATACAAAAAAACATTATTAATTATTCAACATTTATAGCCGTCGTTATACTCTACTTGAGCATGTAGTTTGCCACATTGCGTCACGTTCTAAAGTGTTTCTGAAGTCATGACTTGAAAGTGCCTTTGCAATGGAAATGCACTATCGACATGGAGTTTGCACTCCACACATCTATTACCTACGATGATACGATAAAGGAGCCATTTGGCGCGTCTAACCACTGATTGAGCCTCCATGAAGCGCTACAGGCTGCTTGTTACGACCTACGGTTGTATTGTACAAAACTTACATATCATTGTGGTTATATTGTAATATCAAAATATCATAATTTTGATGATGATGGAATCTACAGAGGAGAAGTCCGTCTTTCACGCGGGCTGCTAGATGCACGATAAAAAATACAGCTCGTTTTCGTATAGGAAATACCGACACGTATATTGTTGTTATTTCAACGGATCATTATACTGAGCAAACTTGCGACCAAAATACAATTAAAGCTCCCGACTTCACTCCTGGTATAAGCGAATGAAAGCTTATGTGCGTTTGCCAACGCAAATTTAAGAATTATTGTTTCATCAGTGCAAAAAGCACGACATCCCTTTTCCATATTGTAGCACTCGTATATAACTCGACGATCGAGACGTGAAAGTACTGTATCTGGTCGAATTACATTTTCCCTGGACAAAAAGACCTGGTCGACAAGCTTTGGTCTATCGTTGCTCAGAACATTGGCGGTTTGATGGTAAATGGCGGGGGTCGCTCACAAAATGTGGAAATGCGCTGGCAAGGCACGCCCAGAACCGTCCAAATAAGACAGTTTTGAGGGAGGGGATAAGTGATACATCGGTGAGGCCGCAGATGTTGAGCATCAAGTCCTTTAAGAGTCGAAATGGGGAAATATTGAGTAAAGTTGTAATGATTTTGTACATACCTATACATCAAATGGAGTAACAACTCATTGCGCTTGCGGTCATCAAGCTTATAGGCCGCTCGCAAAAATGGTATCTAACAAGCAATACTTCTGTGCAAGCGTCGTTCCCAAAGCGGAAGATTTTAAGCATATTGAGTGCGCTCACGGGTTTTTGTCTACGCGTCAAGGTCGTCAGAAACTGGAGCACTATGTCGAAACGTGAGCAGCCGTTATCACTGAAATTTCGGCGAACCCTATCTCTTAGTCAAAACCGTATACCGTCTACCGTCTTCATGGAGTGTTGTCAAACGAGTGCCGGTAGCAACGAGAACCCCGCTATCACCTTACCGCTTTTGATAGAGGTGGGAGCCGCATAAAATGTGAGGTGGGGCTTTCGTGCCGCGTCAGCTTTACGGAATCATGAAAAATATATGTTTTCAAACACACAGAGTTGATCGGACTCAAGCACACCGAGACAAAAAATCTCTTTCAGCAGCTGTAAGGCTCTGTGTTTCTCGCGGATATTTCATTTGCGGTGTTAAGTAACATGTACGTCTTGCGTACCCCATTCGAGTTCGGCCGAGAGAAAGATTTAAGCTACCGAAACCCACACGCTAGAATTAAGCTTTCTCTAGCGCGGGATACCCTTTTTGGAACCAGGTTCTGTGTCCCTCATTAAACGATGAGGCGTTTTGGACAGTAGAGCCTCCAGCCCAAACACCTAACTTTACGTTAGGTCTTACACCTTCGTGTGGGATACGGCTTCCGCTTGGCGGATCCCGCTACTTAGGTGAAAGACGCGATCACTCGATCTTTAGACGTCTACATAGTCGGATCCTCGGCCACTACACAATTTGAGCTTGACCAGCGGAAAGCTCTCCGAGCTCGCTTCTTGGTATCTCAAGAAATTCTAATGGACAGTATCGTGCTCAAGTACGAGCTCAAAGAAGAGGTAATCCCGTACCCGTAATGCGAACTACTCCCGTGCTGCTCACCACTGGGAAAACCGCTGCAGATGAACTCAAGGCGCAACGCCAACTTCCTGCGTATTGTCACCCTGCAACACATGGAGTCATCCGTCAAGATCCCGCGAGTTCTGTGGTTTCTCACACGGGTGAGTCTACGATCACAGCAGCTCAAGGCTAAAGCTTCAGCTTAGCTCATGACCCTTTGACTTCACGGACTGCTGCCGAGAAGCGCGGGGCGCACGACGACACGGAGCATCATGATCCTTTTGATCATATGCGTTTACGACGTCTGGGCAGTGATGTCGAAGTGGCATCTCAATTCCCATGAGTTCTCGGGGTCGGGATATCTCCGCCTTCTCACAAGATATTGGGTTTGACCCTGTCGACAAAGTCGACCCACACGGCGTCCTACGTGATATCAGACACCATCATTCTCATCGTGAAGAGTCGGCGGCGAGTGATGACGGCTTTGTCGATCGCCGTTCAATGACTCGCGATGCTCTTAAAGCTTGGAGGACAAAGTCCGTCGTCACCGGCACTCCGCCGAGCAGCTTTCCGAGGTCACCTACCGCTGTGCGGAAGACTTCGAAAGCCTGGAGCACTTTGTGCACCAACTTTCTCATGTTTAGGAAAATCGCGCTTTATTGGAAAGGTTCCTAGCCGTCGAGCAGACGAATACGTCACTCCGTGAGACTTTGGAGCGCTTTGCGCCGTTAAAACGAAAATTGTCGCACTACGTGTTTAAAACCAGCTGCTAGTTCAGCTTTTGGGTAATCGAGCGCCTTTGGACGCCGTCCCGGCGCCAACGCTTCCGCGTTCACTTGCGCCAGATCCCGGTAAAGCTTAAGCAAGCCGACATAAAACACCGGGTGGATGCGTATTTTTCTCGAAAGGTTAAGCATATACTTAAGGTCTAGCATGGTCACGACCTT